CCCCCCCCCCCCAAAAAAAAGTAAAGACAAAAACTATCCCCTACGAAAGTACTAATCCCATATACGCCTTACAACACGAACAGACTGAAACATATGAGCAGATCGTTTCTTTTGCATTAGGATATAGTATGTGATCAGTCTTTGATTTCGGAATGTTTTCTTAAACAGTAATTTTATATTTCCACATACTTCATGGTATAAGCTTAGAAGAAAATCGCTCCTGTGTTTTTACAGCACTGGGGATTGAACCTAGGGCCTTAAGCACATTAGGCAAGTGCCTACCACTGAGCCTTGTCCACAGCACTTTAGATGTTTTGCTTGTTTGTTTTAAATTCAAAATCTACCATCCAACTTTTCCTGAAAGGGGAATCTCTCCCCTCCCCACTTAGCATCTTATCTAAGAAGAATACTTACAGAGATTGACTCTGGGTAACGCCAAGGAATGCCAGATGATTCTTAAGTTTGTTACTAAGAGTCTACCTGAAGACAAAGTGAGAACAGGTTAGCTGAAGGCCCTTTCCGAAGCACAGGGATGAGGTGGGAATGGAAGCTGTGGCTAACAGCTTGCTGGTCTGATGGCCAGCACTTGTGGAAGCTGCATCCTGTGATCCATGTGCTCAGAATGAGCATGGTACTGCATGCCTGTGATCCAAGTGCCTGGGGTGTGCAGTCACAAGGACCAGATGATCCAAGTGCCTGGGGTGTGCAGTCACAAGGACCAGATGATCCAAGTGCCTGGGGTGTGCAGTCACAAGGACCAGATGATCCAGGTGCCTGGGGTGTGCAGTCACAAGGACCAGATCATCCAGGTGCCTGAGGTGTGCAGTCACAAGGACCAGATGATCCAAGTGCCTGGGGTGTGCAGTCACAAGGACCAGATCATCCAGGTGCCTGAGGTGTGCAGTCACAAGGAATAGATGTTCAAACATGATACCAAGTTTGAGGCCAGTCTGGTTTAGATGATTAAAAAGGAAAAAGGAACGAGTATGGGCTGGACAAGGCAGCCCCTGCGGTCATGAACTGCCTGCTATGATGAACTCCACCCTGGAACCGAGACACAAAATAGACACTTCCCTCCTTAAGTTTCTTTTGTCAGGTACGTTGTCACAGACGTGAGAAAAGTCACTGAAACGTAAGTGCCATGAGTGCCTCTCAGCAGTTCTCACTTTGGGTGCCCGTGTGTATGCGCTTGTGGATACACGAGGTGCAGAAAACATGGGAGAGCACCAGCTGGCCTCCTCTACTGCTCTCCACCTTATTTCTTCCAGGCAGCAAGCCCCGGGGTCCTCCTGCCCCAGCCTGCCTCAGTGCTGGTGGTCCCGGTGTGCACGGTACCACGCTGGTCCTTCTAAGTGCAGAGGCGGCGCTCCTGAGTGCTGAGCCGTCTGTCTCTCCAGTCCGACAGCTCTCCCTCACACGAACCACGTGCTTAAAGGGCTAACTCTGTCAGCGGCACAGGCAAGAGGGGCTGACTGCGGTCAAAGCAGAAGTTCCTCAATGCTAGACCAAGAGGTTCAGAGGCAATCCTACTAGTAATAAAGCTGAGTTGGAGTTTAGGCTTAAAATTGGGGCAGACGAAACAATTTTAAGGAGAGCGCTGTGGTGGTGAACGCCTTTAATTAATCCAGCACTGGGAAGGCAGGGGCTGAGGCTGAGGCAAGGCAGGTGGACCTTTATGAGTTCCAGGCTACCAGCCATGGCTACATAGTGAGAGCTTGTCTCAAAAGGAGAGAGGGCCTGGCGTGGTGCTGCCCGCCTTTAATCCCAGCACTTGGGAAGCAGGTAGATCTCTGAGTCTGAGGTTAGCCTCGTCTACAATAAGAGCTCCAGGGCAGCCAGGTCTATTTAGAGAGACCTTTCTCAAAAATAAAAAACATAAACAAAAGCAAAGAAAAGAGAGGACATGGTGGTTTGAAGAGGTATGGCCCCCATAGACTCAAGTGTTTGAATGCTTGACCTACACAGAGTGGCATTATTAGGAGGTGTGGCCTTGTTGGAGGAGTGTGTCACTGGGGAGGTGGGCTTTGAGGTCTCCTATGTTCAAGTTATGCTCAGTGTGGGACACAGTTCATTTCCTGTTGCCTGGGGAACAAGATGCAGAACTCTCAGCTCCTTCTCCAGAACCATGTCTGCCTTACACACTGCCATATTTCCTGCCATGATGATAACGGACTAAATCTCTGAAACTGTAAGCCAAATGCAATGAAATGTTTTCCTTCTGAGAGTTGCCATGGTCACTGGTGGACCAAGACTGACTGATGAAGCAAGACTTTGCTGATACACTCCTTCCAGACAAAGGGGTGGAGACAGCAGCCCTCATCGGAGAAACCACAGGGCTGACTATACTATTAAAAATTTCCAGCACTCTCTTTGCTACTTTTCTGAAATTAATTTAAACATCTATTTGAGGAGAAGTGGGCATGCTTACTCAATGCTGTAAAATATAAAGAAAAGAGAGAGAGAGAGAGAGAGAGAGTTGTCATGGTCATGGTGTTTCTTTCTTCACAGCAATAGAAACCCTAACTAAGACAGATGACATGATGTAGTTTGGCTCATCACTCACTTATGTAATATTAGAAAAGCCAAGCAGCTTCTCAGTTACCATCTATGAAAAAAGGGGAAGGGTGTCTGCTTTGAATTAATGCTACTAAGTGAAATTACATATACAGATATAAAAAATAGCCGTTGGCAAATAATAGACATTTAAAAACTGTTAAGAGAGTGTGAGGGAACTTGGGAGGGTTGGAGGGAGGACAGGAAATGATGAAATTATATTTTAATTAAAATATGTTAATAAAATGTTAATAGCGGTTCTATTTTTTTTCCTTTTTTCGTTGAAAGGGGGAACAAGGATGACTGAATCCAGGACCTGAGACTTGACAGACAGGTGCTCTGCTAAGGAGCTCCAGCTCCAGCCCTCCTTCCCTCCTTCTCTCCCCCACACCCTTCTTTCCTCTCTGCCTACCCTGCTCTTTCAGATTCACCAGCTTTATTATACTAGGTCCCATAAAGCCACCCTTGTTTAGACAATGTCACTTTATCACACAGGCTGTTCTCAAATACACAGTTTCCACTGACGCTCCTGCCTCGGCTACCCAAGTGGCTGGGACTAGAGGTGTGTACTTCCAAGCCTGGCTTAATATTTTAATGCTTTACAAACTAATTTTTACGACTTAAAAATTACAGGGGTGCTGATTTCCTTGAATCATTTCACTTAGGTAACAATTTGTCTTTTATGCTTTTCTATTAGCATATCCAGAAAAAAAAAGTTATGGAATGCTGACAGTTTGCCTTACAAAACTCCCAGCCAACTCTCTTCACCATTTTTCTGCTCACTGTTTATCTCCTACAAGTTACAGGAGTCTTGTGAGGCCTCTCCTCTCCTGAAGGAGCCCTCCCTGCAGCTCCATGTCCATCCTTCCAGGCCTGGGCTTCTTTCTCTGTCCTTGTTTCTTCTAATCTCCCCAGTATGAAATCTCTGTGCTCACATCACCCTCCACGGCTCCAGTGCACAGCGCTAATCTGATAATTTCATGACAGAGTACTTAGGAGTGGATTAAATCTGCTGGTCTTTTGAGGTACTCACAGCTTTAAAACAGGGGTCCTGCCTTGACCTTGATAACCTCCCTATGCTAATTCCCTGCCAGGTTCCACCCTCCTGAATGCTTAAGGGAAGTTCCTTGTCTGTGTATCCTGCATAATGGGCATTAACAGCTTGGATGCAAGATTGTAAAACATCTGTAGCGAATTTCTGCCCTCCAGGGTTCTCCCACTGTGCTGTAAGCCTGTATTGAAGACCTCCTCCCTCCTTCAATAAACGGCATTCGGCATTAAAAATAAATAAATTAATTAATTAATTAAAAACAAAAACAAAAACAAACAGGGGTCCTGAATGGCATAGCTTTAAGTTGGTCACCTGGAAACTGCCGACAGGAGCAGATGCAGAGGGTTGGAAGGCAGAACTCCCCATGCCCTCTCTACCTCCACATAAACCACACACTCTGCACAGTCCTGTAAACCTCCATTTAAACAAAGCTTCCTGAGTTCCAATAGGATTCTAGTACCGTGAGGGGATTATGTGTAGCCAGGCTTCCCCATCCCCTTAGTTTTGAGCAAAAGAAAAACCCTGGGTAACTTCAAACTTGTGATCTTCCTATGACCACTTCCTGAGTGCTACCAACGAGCTACATTCCCCAACCCTAGAAAGCCTCTCTGCTCTCTGTCATAGTTTGATTCCTGTTGGCTGTGATAAAACACTAACCAAAAGCAACCTGGAAGGGAAGGGATTATTTGGTTTATACTTCCAGGTCACAAGCGATCATTGAGGGAAGTCAAGGAAGGAACCTGGGGTAGAAACCATGGAGAAACACTGTCTACTGGCTTCTTAATTCACAGGCTCACAGTTAGCTGAGCTTTCCTGTGGGGCCCAGGATCACTTGCCTAGGGATGGTGCTGCCCTCCTACATCAATTAATAGACAAAGCCCCACAGACACGCCCACAGGCTAAATCTGATCTAGGCAATTCCTCAGCTGAGGTTTCTCCCTTCAGATAACTCTAGGCAGTGCCAAGCTGACAATTAAAGCTAACCAGGACACTCTCTATACACCAAAGTACTGATACAGGATGCTTCACTCAATGAATGCTTGATGAATCAAAAAAAAAAAAAAAATGTTTTATTATCCACGGTCTCTGTTTATTATGGAGGATGGACTGTCACAAAAGCCTTCTTGTCAGTCGATATAGGAACAACCAAAGGTTCCCTTACTTCCTCAAGGTAACTCACTTTAAAATTTAGCCTTACGACAGCAAAACTTTTATTCTGTCCCACAAAAGCACAAACCAATACTCTTGGTTTGCTCTTAGGTGTTCAGACTTCACTCTCCCCACGGCCCAACTGACACCTGGATCATTGAGAAATGTAAGCATGCACACCTTTAATCCTAGCACTTGGGTGAGGCAGAGGCAGGCGGATCTCTGTGAGTTCGAGGCCAGCCTGGTCTACAGAGCAAGTTCCGGGAAAGGCGCAAAGCTACGCAGAGAAACCCTGTCTCGAAAAACCAAAAACATAAATAAATAAATAAATAAATAAATAAATAAATAAATAAATAAATAAATAAATAAATGAGAGAGAGAAATGTAAGCATGCCTATAAGCACAGGCCCTAGACCTGGCAGGATGTGCATGCAGCTATCAGTAACAACAGCTTCTTCACAAAAAAACAGGCTCAGTAGGACAATTCAGAACCAAGTCCTGGAGAGCACATAGCCACCCAAAAGCTGCATTAAGCCTGTTCTGCAGTGAGGTTACTGTCCCTTCCCCAGGACACACTGATCCCTTTATCTGAATGAGGTGGGCTCCTGGCCCCTGATTCTTCCTGAAGTTCTCCTCCAGAAACCCCACCCCGCCCTCTGAGGAATACTAGTGAGCTTCAGGCCCTGTTGATTGCACACTGATGCTGGCTCCAGGAACAGCTGCTTAAAGTTTTTAGCTTCAGGCAATTTGATTCAGAAAGGAAGTTAGAGTCTAGCTGTTTTTCGGTAGCAGTAAAAAACAAAACAAAACAAAACAAGAAAACAAAAAATCTCCCACAGGGCTTTCTGCTACTCAACTAACAAACAGACTTCTCAGTGCAGCACTAAATTTTGTCCTTGCACATGTCCACCTCTAGGGGCCATTCTGAGGGGACTGTGCAGTACTTCAGGATTAAGGTGAAGTGTGACCACAGATACCACAACCATGAATATTCAATGTTTACCATTCTGTATTCTTTTAGCAGGAGGTAGATCCAATGGTAGGAACTATTCTATGATGCTTACAAACAGGGCTCCTGGAGTTTTAACCATTACACTAGAAAATCTCATGCCTTGAATCAAGACTCACTACCGATGGGCTAAAGCCGAGAGAGAACCTGTGTTTCCTATCTGTAGGATTAATACGTACCAGTTTTTCTATTTGAGAAAAATCTGTGGACTTAACTTTTTTCTTCTCACAATTACATTTACATGTGATGCTTTTTCTCCAGCTAGTGTGAATAACCATTTAAAAATTAAACCACAGATACAAAACTCAAGTCTACTCACCTCTATCCCCATTATTTCCTTTTGTATCTTCAATTGAATCTAAACAATCAATAAGGATTTCTCCAGGTCTTGTTTTCATCTGTCTAAAATAAACACAAAACTGTGAGGGTTATAACTTCACCTCTATCTGCTCCCAATCTACTTAGGGAAGAGACACAGGCACAGGACACACAACAGTGTAAGCACACAGCACTGAGTGCTCACGCAGTTGGAAATAACTTCCAGACAATGCGGTCAGTGAGCCCTGGGTTGACCAGGGCCACTTGGGAGTCAGCTAGATCCAGAAGTGGAGTCTTGGACAATAAAAGAGAGCAGAGAGTGCATGACTGAAAAACAGGAACAAGAAAGGTAACAGAGGCGGCCGGGAAGAAAGGGGACTGAGGAGCGAGAGTATAGGTGGGTGACTGGGGAGAAACACCTGTCAAAGAATCTGGAACTCCACGATGACAGGCCTTATTCTGTGGGCAACAGACAAGCCCCGAGAGGTTTCAAAGTGGAGGAAGGCCAGCAGGCGGTTATGGAAGGGATGATTTTAAAAAGAGTTGTATGAGAAGTATCCTTAGGGGGCCAGCGGCATGGCTCAGCAAGTGAAGGTAGCTGCCGCCAAGACTGATGACCTGAGTTTGATCCCTGGAACCCTAACAAAGGAGAGGTCTGGCTTCTGCATGTTAACTTCTGACCTACCCTCCTGCATCGTGCACACTGAAAGCACTCTTACTGAGCTGTCTGCCCAGGCCCTTTTGCTCACTAGTGTTTACACAGCCGCTGGTGTGTAAATCTCCTGCACTAGAATGAGGAAGGGTGCATGATTAGCATCCCCTCTTATTTCTTGTCTCTATCAGCAAAGTAAAAAGCATGTGTGTGACAATTGTCTGCTAAACTCAGAATGTTCATGAAAACTGGAGTTTTGTTTGGATTAAGATACCCCGCCCCCCAGAACTATAGAAAAGCCATAAAAGGTGTGCAGTGAGTTACGGTAGTTTGTAATTTTACAAATATCCCTTCTTTTGACTTCATAAAGGAACTAATACCGTGTTAGGAGTCCAATAGCCACAAAAACTGAGGAATGTACCAATATTTCATTTTTCCAATTAAGGAGGTGCTGTTCATGATAAAGCACTATTAGGAAGTTGCTGGGGAGCTCCGTATTTATTGATCCAAGAACTTCAACTTTGATGTTTTCCAACACTATCTCGGCGCCCCCGACCCTCGACGTCTGGGCAGGAAGGTTTTTTTTTTTTTAACCATCTTCTCTTTAAAGCATACTCCTCACAAAC